ACTTTTTTTTGGTTGGCTTGACGAGGGAGACCTCCACTCGTTAAAACTTAAAAGAATTTATTTCTTGTTCAGAGACTTTGTTGCTTTGCTTCTTGACATGTGCAAAGGGAATTTTTCTTATGTCGATTAACCAATATTGTTAATTTAGTTAGTGAGAGAAAAATAGTCTACTTAGCAGATTGGTAGTAGTATATGATGGTATTCATGGTAACCTTCCATTTATTTTGGAAAACTTGTGTCAGTATTTCACTTTTTTGGGCTGCAGCATTCAATTTTCTCTTTATTTTATCTTCAGACTGGCCAGCATTGTTGTGAATCAATCCATCTGCTCAGCTGAATAAGAACATATGGAGCTTCCTTGTAGCAAGATTTTCCAGGTACGATAAACCAGGGCATTGCAGATACCACCATGGATGGCTGTTTAGAACCCATAAAGAATTCCAATGATCAACAATCTCTAGGAACTTCTGGTAACATGTTGCGCCAAATAAATGCAAGTACAAATCTGCAAGACAAGCCCCAATCAAGAAAGCCTAGTTTGTCCTATGCTGATCTACATCATGAGATTACAAGAAATGTAAAAGATATCCCATCTAATTCTGTTGGGAACCACCAAAAGCAGCGGATTAATAGAAAGACAACTGCTGAAGAAGAAATTGTTAGGCACATGTCAAATTTGCCAAGTTATCTTGAGAGAGGAAAAAACCTTCAGGAGAAAGTTTTAAATGTCGGGGTCCTAGACTGGGGGCGCCTAGAAAAATGGCAGTGTAGCCATAAACAGATGCCATACAGAAATAGCCGTTATTCACCGTCCAGTAGTAATACAACCTCATGTTTTTCGACGGATGGATCATCAACCCATTCCAGCCGAGGTCACAGCTGTTCTCCTGCTCGGCCAAGGATGCACCGTCATTCACTGCAATCTCATTTCACGAAATCTCCAACAGAAGGCCATTCTGAAGTTGTCAGCTCTTTTGGAGAAAGGGTTGAAAAGTTTCAAGACCTTAAAGCTGACCAAAGTAGCACCGTGAATGGGCCGGAAAAGTTCATTGGAACAGATACATCTTTATGCAGAAGCCGCATAGACATGAAGGTGGAACAGTGCAAGAGTAAAGATTCAGATGCAAAGTGTGAGCCAGAAAAAAGAAGTTTGTGGAATGGCCCACATTTGGAAATGGCAGCTCATTTAAAGGTAAAGAAAAAGACTCAAGTTGGTGAATTTATTCAGAAAGCAGAGAACTTACAGAAACCATATTCAGAAAATTTTGAATTAGACATTCCTGAAGGATGCAAGAAAGTTGTTCTGCTTTTGCCTAGAAATTTTCCCGAAAACAATCACTCTGGGGTTTCCCACCTTTCTGATTCAACAACACTGCTTCATCAAAGAGCAGAGAAAACTACTCGAGCAAGCTCTTCAGAGAGACCCAAGGAGGCCTGCCATGCAGAGCTCAATTCTGATTTCCCACATTCGTGCCATTTTCCTTCTGAAGTTGAAAGTAAACACTCTCGGGTAAAACACCTTGGCTCCACAGATGGTGCGACTCTCAGATTTCAATCTAATACACCTAGCTCAGCATCATTGTCATCTACAACAGGAACTCACCCACACAGAGGCAGAAATGTAGAAGAGAAAAAAGTAGCAGTAGTGTCTACATCTTCTTCAACTGTAAGTGAGCCTTATAAAGGATTGGATCTGAAACCAAGCAAAGCAACTGCTGAAAAAGTAAGAAACACTTCACCTTTTCGCCGATTTAGCATTGGTGTGGGTAAGATGAGTAAGAATACCAGTTCTAAGGACTGTTTAGATACACAGCAGCTGAGCTCAACAACTTTTTCAGCTAAACCTGGTTCAGAGAACACTACGACTTCCACATTCTTAGGTGCTTCAGATGGTCAAAAGTCCAATGCCACTGGCAGATCCAAGTCCCCTCTGAGAAGGTTACTGGATCCACTGCTGAAGTCAAAGGTGGCAAACTCCCATCACTTAGTGGAGCCATTAGAGAAAGATTCCATATTGTCTGAGGGGCGGGTGGATTCTTTGTCCGAGCAGCCAGGGAAGGTAAAATTGGGTATGACTGGTTGTAGGACAATTAATGTCAATGAGCCAGTGAAGGCCAAGAAGTGTGGATCATCTGCAGTTCAAGCTCTTCTACGAGTTGCAGTTAAGAATGGCCTGCCCCTGTTCACATTTGCTGGTGACAATGACATCGACATCCTTGCAGCCACGATGAAGAAGCTAAATACCTTGAAAAAGGGTGACTGCAGCTGCATCTACACATTTTTCAGTATCCGGGAAGTCAAGAAAAAAGGTGGAACTTGGATAAATCAAGGCAGCAAAGGCAAGAGTCATGACTACGTCCGTAATGTTATTGCTCAAATGAAGGTCGCTGATTCTCAGTTTCCCAATTTGGTTAGACCGGATCACTTTAGCATGAGAGAGTTTGTTTTATTTTCTGGAAACCTAAGACAGGCAGATTGTGAAACCTCAGACTTCCAGCCAAGTGATGAGCTTGCTGCTGCTGTTGTCAAAATCCCCAAAAAGGTCAATCAGCAATCCACCGGAGATTGGCATCATTGGGATAACTGTAGTAACTTGCCTGCGGTTGGTTCAAAAGAGTGTTTGTCAAGGGTGAGACGCCATTCTTATTCTGGGGAAGCTGTAGAGAAGCCTTTTGTTGGTGGTCAAGGCCTAATTAGCACAACAGTCATACTTCCAAGTGGTATCCATAGTCTACCAAGTAATGGGGGACCATCATCACTGATTGAACGTTGGAATTCAGGTGGATCATGTGACTGTGGAGGTTGGGATTTGGGTTGCAAACTTAGGATATTTGACAATCAGAATCCAGTCAATGAGAAAGTGAAATCACATAAGGTTTGTTCCATCACAGATCGGTTCGAGCTTTTCCCTCAGGTATAGTGTTTTTCTTTAGCCAGGGTGATATATAATTTTCTTTTCTTTTCCATGTTATTCTGAAAGTTACCAACTAATGTCACCTTTTGTTTTCATTACATATCCACAGGGAGGTTTACAAGAAAACCAGCCTACTTTCAGTATGTCCCCATTCAGGGATGGTATCTATTCAGTTGAGTTCAGTTCTTCACTCTCAATCTTACAAGCATTCTCCATTTGTATAGCAGTATTAGATAGTTGGAACTTATGTGAGTTCTCGGAGTCAAGGAACTCGTTAGAAGAAAAAACTTCTGGAGAAAGCATATTAATGCAAAATGATGGATTAAGTGCTCCAAATCGAACGGAAGGGGAAGTTCCTGCAAGATATGTCTCATATCCCCCACTTTCTCCAGCCGGGAGGGTCTAGTTTTACCATGATTACCTCTTATAGTTACCATGTATCTTCATTTGGCTGGGTTGGATTTTAGATTCATGATCCCCGCGAAGATAACTGAAGTCTTGGATCCGCAGAGTACTTTAGATGTCAGAAGTAATATGAAGTGCATCAAATGTATTCTGAGTGGAACTGTTTCATCAATTTAAATGTGCATATAATGAGTGAATAGTATGTTATTTTTCACGTTGAATTTTAATAAACTCAATTTCTGATGGGAATATTGGAGAATAATGATCCAATTCCTCCAGTATTGGGGTGCAAGCCCCTCCTTGAAATGGAAATATGAGGCCTTGCAGGCTGTTTATTTTCCCTCTTGGTTACTCATTTGGTGTGCATTTTCCACCTGCATTGTTTTTCCATGCCTGATTCAACAGATTTCTGTACATCAAAGGGATGTCTCTCAAACTTTCACACGAGCGTCCTTGTACACACGTACACACGTACACACACACACACACGTAGAAGATACAAGTGAGCAGACATCAACTTCCATTGTAAGGCAATAATCAGGGGGTCCCTGCATAAAATCTTTGCTGTGAAGCAGCTCCCAATTATGGAAATTGCAACAACAAGATGCCCTACAAGGCTAAAACAGTGAGTTAGAATGCCAGGAGTGCCCTCAAGGTGGGGTGTATTGATTGTTGGGTGCTCTAGGAGAAATCTTATCAGAGTGGCTTTCTTTGCGGCACCTTTAAGGAACACTGGTTTGCGTCTTTTTGAATGCAGTACAAAGCTTAGGAGGAAAGCCAAAAGCGAAAAGGAGGACGTCTCACATCACATATATATGATACATTTACATTGCGTGGGAATTATGACACTACTATATAGCATACATTTCCAATATGGGTTGTATTTGGTCATTATGCATTGCATCTTAGACTCACCAAATGGTTATGTACCTTGCCTTTGTTAATGGAGAGCAACTCAAATTAATACGTTAAACTGGGGAAAATGGATTAGGGTTTTTTAACTCTGTTATTCGGGATGAGATCTTTACCTTCTTTTTTCAGTTGGACAAAGTTGAAATTCTTCATACTTATCGAGAAGCTAATACGGTACTAGATACTCTGGTCAATAAATGACATAAATTTACACAACCTTATGATTGGTTTTCTAAATTTTCGTTTATTGTAGTTGTAAAATTTCGTTTTGATTTTCGGAAATTCCTCCCATTGTGATTTTTATACAAGTTATATTGGAAGAGAATGATTTTTTCGCACACACTACCAATGTGTCATAAATTTCAAATCTAAAACCGTCGGTCTACAGTCAAGATCCTTTTTCATTAAACTAAACACCATTCTATTGTAGTTTATGTTGGACTTATCTCTCTCTCTTTTTTTGGTCAATTACATTGTGCGATAGAGTTGAAGAAATGAATTGGACCCATAATATAGTGGGTCCATCATCCCTGATATCGGGTTAAAACTTGTTTTCGAAAGTTGTAGCCGACATTTTAATAAAATAAAATAAAAGTTGTAGCCGACATAGGTTCTCCATCAGCTTGCCACGTGAGCGCGTTCCTTCTTTTCACGCTTATTGGACACGTCATGCAGATTTGCTGACTCTTCTTCAATAAAGAAAACCCAAGAAAAAAAGAAAAAAGTTTTGAAAACTTTTGTCCCAAGTATTTATTTTATATTTAATTAATTATTTGGTTTTCCCATCTCACTCCCCCCACTTGGAAAACCTTCTTTCTCAACTGCCACCTCCGAGACCGAGAAGACTGTGAGAGAGACAAAAAGAGTCACAGAGAGTTTTGAATTAGGTGAAATTCTGTTGCTGTAGATTAGATATAGATAGATTCCTATTGATCCCAAACCTAATTTTCGAATTTTGAAATCAAAACTCCAATTCCATTTTCTCTGCGAATTTTTTTTTTTTTTCATTTTAATTTAAATTTATTATCACGTTGGACTATTCGAATTCCAATTTATAGCGGTTTATTTGGAGTTCTTAATGCTGATTGATGACGAGCTTTAACCTCATATCCCAAAATGCCGGTTATCTTTGCTCGTGAGGCTCCCAAGGTTACAATGAAGCCCGCCATTGCTGTTTTTGTTCAACTTTTTTTTTTCTTTTGACAAATTCCAATTTTCATTGATTTTTTGGTGTTGTTTGAAATGTGAAGCTATGGAGGAAAGTATGCGCAGAGACGTCAACTGAAATTTCGCTTCTTTCCGGGACTTGGAAGTATTTTCTTGCTGGTCTCGTTATTCAGGTTCATTTCTTTTTCTCTTTCTGCTTCAATTTTTTTTTTAAAATTAGGAATTATTATTGGCAATTAATTTGTATTGAATGTTCATGTAACTTGTGAACTGCTGGAAGCTTATTCCATTAGAAAAAGTTAATTAGAAATGGTTTGAACTACATGATTATATGGAACTACTACTAGTCATAGTTGTTCTGTTTCAAGTTGGGCTTTAAACTTTAATTTCAATGCAGTGGATTGAATGGTGTTGGTTTAATTCACACTATTTGTTCTGCAAATGTGTGTAAGCCGGAGAAGAATTATGGCTGATCTCAGTGATATGAAACCTTTCTGTGTTGGACAAAAAATTATGTTCTGAGCCAAACTACTTTCCCATAGGCTTTTCCTTTTCCCCCTTTTGTTTTTTCAGGGGCTCTTGTTCAGATGCTTATTTAGTTGTTTTGTATGTGTTAACAGTATCTTCATGGACTAGCTGCTCATGGTGTTCATTATTTACATCGGCCAGGACCGACGCTTCAGGATGCTGGGTTCTTTTTCCTCCCGGTGGGCATACTTTTAAGGATTTTTATCCGGAGGCTTTAATTTTTGATGTAACATTTGTCATATCATTTATTTTATGTTGATTTGTGATATCTTAGGAACTTGGTCAAGACAGAACTTATCTTAGTGAGACTCTCTTTACAGTCATCTTTTTCTCCTTTGTCTTGGTAAGCCTTTCTGTTTTCTAATATCAACATCTACTTTAAATTTATCCTGGATTTGTCTCTCATGTATTTGAAGGGCCAGTTGTTCTTGCAGTCCATTTCTTTATTTTTTGCTCCTAGTTACTTGTAGAACTTTGGTAGCATCCTAATCCAGAGTTTTATTCTGTTGCAGTGGACTTTTCACCCCTTTGTTTTCCAGTACAAAAAGATATATACAGTTCTGATATGGTGCAGAGTATTTGCTTATCTAGGCGTAAGTACAGCTGATATTTACCAATGTTGTTTTTGCTGTTTACATGTGCTAGACTACACCCTTAGCTGCTTAAACTCTTCCTTTTAGATCTTCATTATTGCTCTCTCTTCAGGAAGTTCATTCACATAGGTTGCATATGTCCTTGGTTCTTTGCTGAAAACACTTGAGTTTTTGCTTAGGCATTATAAAGGCTTACCATTGAAACTGTTTTCACTTTTGGTTTAGTATGGGCTCTTATCAGGCAACAGTTTAATCAGTAGCCATATCATCATCACATGCTACATATATGTGTTATAAATCCTTTTTAATTTTCCCAAGTGTTTTGAATCTGATAGTACACAATAAATATTGACGTTGATGAAAATTTGGTGAATATGCTTACATTAACTACAGAGTCATCTGTATTTTGGTGAATATCGACGTTGATGAAAATTTGGTGAATATGCTTTACATTAACTACAGAGTCATCTGTATTTTTCTCTTTCAACCCAATGTTCTTGGATTACGTGTCCTGCTTATATGATACTAGTTCTTGAGCTTGGTTCATTTTCTGAAGCATCTGACTGGGAATAGCACTAAGGACAGTCTTCCATATATGAATAAAGAATGCATGATTTATGTGTTATTTATTTTTTTTGAAGTTTTGACTCGTGAACTGATTCATGGATCAATGGATTAACAGTATCCTGTGTTTTTCTACTATATTTTCTGACAAATTCTTTGCGTATATGTTGCATTTTGTTTAGGTCTCTCAAATGCTCCGGATTATAACCTTCTATTCAACTCTGCTTCCTGGTCCAAACTATCATTGCCGTGAGGTAATGTTTATAGAAGTTTGCAATTTCGGTTGTTAGTTCGCTGTAATCAATAATCATTAAGTAGTTGTTATTAAACGACGTTTTACAATCAGGTACAACTGTCTCTTTCAGGGCTCAAAACTTGCCAGGCTGCCTCCTCCAGAGAGTGCACTTGAAGTGCTCTTAATCAACTGTAGGTTTAAATTATTCATCTTTTAATTATAATCTTCTTCATGCTTATATGATTTGCATGATTGTGCAGTTCCCCGAGGAGTAATGTATGGTTGTGGTGATTTGATCTTTTCATCACACATGATTTTTACCTTAGTATTTGTGCGCACATATCAGAAATATGGAACAAAGAGGTAACTCCGTTCTTATTTCTTTTTTTGGGGTGGGGGGGCTGTTGTCCTCTGTTGCATCTGGTTGCCCAATAATGATGTCAGTCCTCTGTTGCATCTGGTTCCCCAATAATGATGTCAAAGAAGGAAAGTAAAGCAATCCGTGTACTGATGTCCGAGGGGTTGGGGGCTTGAGTCATTAGTCAATTTCACTTTTCTAAGGATATCTTCTAAAAGGATAAACTAGTATAAATTTTTGACACTACTGCGGCTTATCATTACAGGTGCATTAAGCAGATTGCTTGGTTAGTTGCTGTTATTCAGAGCCTTCTGATTCTAGCATCTCGCAAACATTACACTGTTGACATTGTTGTTGCCTGGTGAGAGATGGATCCTGTTATGCTTTTGAAATTACTCTACTGGAATATTTAATAATCTATTGGTCGAACATAAGTTTTATATTCCCGTGCAGGTACACTGTAAATTTGGTAGTGTTCTTTATTGACCAAAAATTGCCAGGTTAGCAAAATGCAATTTCAGTAATTTTTTCTCCCTCTTAAAAATGGGTAAAATTTGTTCTGGATTCCATTTTACTGTTAGATCATGAACATTTCTAAATTTGATACAGTTTTGTATATTTAGAACAAAACAGAACTTTCTATGGGCAGTAATTGTCAAGCTCTTTAGAATACCCAAAGGTGTGTATGTGCTGACTGTATTCTTCTCCTTCACAGAATTGCCTGATCGGTCCCTTGGTTCTACATCTCAACAACTGCTACCAATAAGCAGCAGAGATAAGGAAAGCAAGAACAGAGAAGAGCTTGACAAATTCCGGAATGGAAATTCTGCCAACATTACCACTTGAGTCTGGAAAACCAGTAAATATTTCTTATTGTCCCATTTGGTTTGACCTCATTTTGTGGATGCAAACATCATTTGTAATGCATGTCTCCAGATAGTAGGACCGACAAATCTAAAGTTTCGCAATAGGAACATACTTAGCATTATATGGTACATAGATGAGCAGCACAAGCTGAAGATGGCTTTGCTGCTGTTAAAAGTCCTAAGTTGCTTCAACAGATGCAATATTGTCTCTTTAGCGAGGCTGATAAACGTAATTTGTATTATTGCTGGAAATGGAATGGTTTAGGTTTTAGTATGCTCATGAGTAACCACTTTTTCACTGTTTAGTGTCACCCATATCATATTTGTGCAGCTAACTCTTACTCATACATATACTGTCATCATAGTCATCATCATTATCATCTTTGTCGTCATCATCGCAGAAATGAATTATAGAGATTGTATGCACAAGAATGAGTCTAGAAAAGTGGTAATTATGGATGAAATCCAAGTCATTGTGTTGGAGCACCAGGTTGTCATGTTTAAAAAGATTGCTTCAAAATTTGGTCCACAAAACAGGTTGTGTGGGGTGAAGAATGGGAGAGGCATCACATACAATACAAGACAAGAGGGCTTAGAATTATTCTCAAAGGGCACAGTAACTAGAGGAAGCAATTTAGGGCTGGCATGACCCAATTATGCAATTTAATAATGCTTCTTGTCTCATGGCCCACAAGGACCACCAACCCTTTTGCTTTCCAAGTGCCCTTTCTTTTTTTCCCATGTATATTCTCTCTTTTCATAGGTTGTTGAAGCATGATATTGGAGACAGCTCTTGTTACATCACATGCCTCTCTTGCTTGCTTTCCCTTCACTATCTGAGCGACTGTTTCTTTTTCCTTTTTAGCTGCAAGTCTCTTAACTTTTAGTGCCAACATAATATCTAAACTCTGTTCATCCCTCCCAATGTCAAATGTATCAAAAAGATAGCAATTATGTCATTTGCATGGACTTCCTCTCTGGGAAGGATGTTTTGCTGAAATGGAAAAAGGTACGTTGCTGCCTTCAGTTCTGTTTTTCTGAGCAACTGTTTTGGGAAATAAATAGTACAAGAAAGTAAAATGGCAAATCCATGGAATTCAAGATTTTTTGTTTTGGCCCGTGAGTTTTCACATTCAAATTTTCCAAATTCGTCAGTGTCCTATAGTCTAGCCCTAAACCCTTTTCGTAAGTGGATTCTTATCTCATCCTGTTCTCATGATGTCTGTGTATATATAACTTTATACAAATGATCCAAGAAAAAAATAGAAGAAGAAAAAGAAACCAATTGTTTCGTGCCTAGTGTATTTGGGTGATGTGGAAAGGTTTTACATGCCTCCAACAACTCCAATAATCACATTATATAACAGGTGTTATCACTTCAGACATGTTATAACACGCGTATCTACTTAAGTTCATGAAATATCAACTCAATAACCTCCTAATATTGTAGAACATGAGTTAGTAACATCACGCATCACATTATGTGGTACGACAATGTGATCCAGAGTATGAAATAGTTGGACCATGTATATTAAATAAACTTTGGTCATGGTGGTGATGGTGATGTGGGATTTTATAACCACATTGGATTGATGGAAGTCATTAAACTTTGCCATATACTTCTTTTCAACACGCGACTCCAGCGTGCATCGAGAATTAAATTCTTAATCTCTTCTAATTGAATATTTCGAATACATATTCCTTATAACCTTATCTTAGTTTAGGATATATTA